TTATTCGTTTGAATTTGTTTGAAAAGTCGTCGATTTTCAGTAATTGTAATACTGTTTTCTTTCTTAATACACGTAGAAAAAATGTAGATGTCAATCATGTTGCTCGAGTAGTAAATGAGAATAGACAACAATGCGCACACCTGGACCATAACCTGAAAGAACAATTAGAAAGAAACTATGTTCTAACTGCTCAAAATCAACAATTGTCAGAACAACTAGTAAAAATGGAACAAAAACAGATGAACAATGCTCTAACTTCTCAAATTAAACAATTCGTCAAACCAATCAATGCAAATGAAAAAGAATTTCTCAGAAACAGTGAGAAACAACGAAAGAAAATGGATGATGTGCCAATTAATCAAGCACAACAATCTATCGAACATACGAGCATGAATGAACATAAAGTAGATGACGAAAACAGTATTACAATTACTGAAAATCGACGACTTTTCAAACAAATTCAAACGAATAATGAATTAGCTACTGAAAATATAGAATTGCAAAAGCAATTAGAAGATTATCAAAGAGAACATGAACAGCAATTGAAAGAAATGACTAAACTCTTAGCAGAATTAAAAGAGAAGAAATTGAATTCGTTCGAAGCTATCGAAGCACATGATAAAAAAGCAAAAGAAGCACTTATTCAATTAGCAAAACAAGCTAAACCAATTGGTATGGAAGGGAATAATATTGCTCTTTTTGGTTTAACATCAACAGGAAAATCAACAATGTTAAATAGTCTTCTTGGTGAAAAGAAAGCTGCAACAGGTGTTGGTGAAACAACTGTAGAAGTTGCATCTTATCCTGGTAGAGATTTTATTCTTTGGGATATTCCTGGTCGAAATGATGAATTATCATATATGAGTTTGCAATATATATCATTCTTCAAAGGATTAACACGACGTCTTATTCTTATTCAACATACAGTAAAAGAAAATTCGAGTATAATGAAATTATTAGATGCTATTGGAATCAAATATGATATTGTTGTTAACAAAATGGATCGTGTTGAAGAAGAAGAACGAGCAGAATTTTGTGATCAAATACGAAAAGAAATTGCAAAAATTGGGTTGAAAAGTGTAGGACATGTGTTTTTTGTTAGTGCTAAATATCCAGCACAATTTCCAGACTGGCTTCAAATGGTCAATTATTTAACAGATTCTTCAAAAAAATAACAGTAACATTTTTGCCAAAACTACTTTATTTTTACGCGTTACGTCTAGACTTTTTTCAATGATGACTCTTCCTCGATATTCTTGGAAATTTTTTTGTCTACGTATCGCTTTTCAGATCTCTTCCTAATTTACTCATCATATGTTTTAATAATACATATATTTGCTTGTTTTTCTCAACAAATGTTGGGAAAAATGATACGTCAATATTTACGATTGTTTCACAAAGTCAAGAAAACATTCATTGGAAGTATAAATTTTATGCTTGTTTTTCCTTATGAGCAAAAATTGGTATAGTAGAATTCTGCATCACCTCAACACTGAATAGAATGATGATCAAAGGTGTTGAAAAATGTTTCGTTTTATGTCTTTAGTTACGAATAATGCTTACTGTTGGCATATGCCAGGCGAACGTATTTTCTTATGTACCCGCTTATATCGTTTACTGAATATGCGTAATACGCGTTTGATGATCTGTTTCATTGACAATTGTTGTCTTGTTATATGAGCATGTTTATATGTTAAGAAGTGCAAGATTGAGTGTGGGTATCATTCCTTCTACAGTCACATCCTTGCGGACGCTTGTTTATTCTATTGACAAGTTGTCTTTCTCTTTCTTGAGTCCACCATATTCTTTATCTCATCTACCGCAATAAATGTTGATAAAAATTTATCAAGAATATTATCTAATCGTGATGAAAATTCATGATATACGTTGACATGAATGATTGATAACAGATGAATTTTTCCCAGACAAAGAAATAAACTGGTATATACCGACTCTATTGAAATATTTGATGCAGCAGAGAAAATAATAAATACAGCCGTAAACAGTTAGCTTCATTACATCGTAGTTGTATTGTACGTGGTATAGTGACTGTGATAATAATAAACATAATGGGTTGTTTTTATCTTTCATCGGTTGGCATCATACACAGCTCTTCATTGTACTGCTATTGACTTTTCTCTATTATACAAAGTTTCCTTCTATTAGTGTTTAAACCAAAAGGTCATGTCATAAGATAATTGTCAAAAAACTTAATACTTTGTAACATATTTAATTCTGCATAGCATTATATATTGAATATCATTTCACAAGACTCAAAAGTTAAGATAATCCAAATCAAAAACTGATGATGTGGGATGTGAAAGCAAGTGAAGATGATAGTATCTCGTACTTCAAATCATATCCGCGTCCACATCCGATTAACATGCATACAAAGAGTTAAGTTAGGTATTACACTAGATTATTTAGGACTATCAGATAGAGGGTGTGGATGGGCTGTGAGGTTGTTACTCTTCTCATGATCCATACTATCAAAAGCATATTGATGTTTATTTCTCTAGTTGCAGTTATCCAATACGCACCACAGCGCAACAGAAACAAAACTAAACAACGAAATAATATAAGCGAGTTTTTTTCCCTTGTAAGTAGGCGCGTGTTTAGCGTTTATTTTTACTGGTAAACAAACATATAAATACCATTTCTAATGAATAATAAATGCGGAAACTTCGGATTTAAATCCGAGAGTTATGTGTACTTCAAAAAGTGAATCATACAAATCAATCATCCTAGACTGTCTGAATATCAAAATTATACTGTGAAA